TGTGCTGTGAAAGTTTAGGACCCACCTTCCTTTCTGTCGTCTTTTCCTCATTCTCTTTGGTCTCGCTGGAAGTCCATGGGGAAATTCAGATGTCTTATTCAAGTGAATTTCTCAGACTAGAATGTGCATTTCTCAACCCGAGTTGTCCTTTTCACAGCCGTACTCAGATTTCTTTTCTTGCCTTTTTAAGTTGTTTCTACTGTTGTAGACTTACGTCTGCACTTCCGTTGTGACTTCGTAATTTGTAAGAAAAATTTTTAGAGGAAGCTCTGCCATTATTTCAACATGGGGATCCTGGGGGTTCTGCTTTTACCGTTTCCTTCCAGCTCTGTACCCAGCTGTGCTGTCTACATGCTGATTACAGGCAGTTGTGCTTTCCTTGGCAGGATTAGGGACACCTGTGGAGGCCGTGCTCACCCCTGAGCAGATAAAGAGACTCTCCCGAGGTGGCTCCCGTGTAAGCTGTCCCTGGCCATCCAACTCAGTTTTCACGTCTTCTGCTCCTACCTTCTCCTTTGTCTTCTTTGAATTTGGATAATCCTTCTTTGGTCTAAGCTTCTGTCTTCGGTCAAATGCTGTTTTTACTGCTCACTAAGAATAGATTCTCAAGAAGTTCAAAAACTCGGCAAGCTCAGTGAAACACTGAAGGCTGATGTGATGTTGGCTAAGAAGGTTCTGTGCTGTCTCCTTTAAAACCAAGCTGGTCAACCCCGAGGCCGAGGGTTATGACCCTTTGAATGTCTGGTTGCGTCTGTTCCCTCCCTGATGTTGCTGAGGAGCTTCTGCTGTCCGCAGAGCCGGCTGCACACAAGCAGAGATGCTGCAAGTGGTGAGTGGACTTTGATTTGGGTGTGAACCAATGACGTGTAAGAAGTACTGTGAGTACGCTCCCTTCCTGGATGTCACTGTTTGTCTAAAAATGTGTTGAGTACAGCAACGCAGCCAGCGTGCCCAGCACCGCTCCCCACTGCCTAGTACCTTTTCTCCGTGCTCAGAGAGGCTGTTAAATTGCAGGGTGTTTGTGTGTGGTGTATTTGGGGGAGCGATGACACATCGGGTTTTTTTGCTTATGAACAGAGTGGGAACGGTGTTCACTGTGTTCTTATCACAGAACTTAAACTATAAATAGGGCCAGTTCCAACAGATTTGTCCCATTCTCTCCCAGCATGTGGTCTCTAAGTCAGAAGCTCCCATTCTGGAGGTGACTTCATGATGAGCGTCCCCATTTGTTTGACCTGCAGGTGTTAGGTGGGTGGCTTGTGCTACACACCAGGAATAAGTTCAGAGACGGTGCTTCTAGTCTTCAGGATCTGTTTAGGCTTCTCAGTAACTCTGGTATGAATACTTGGGGATTGACCAGCAGGTTCCATCTCATGCCCTCTTGATTCACCTGCTTGCCTTAATCTGTCCCTAAATTCAACTAAATTTAAGTAAAAATAAGAAGGGGACTGTCAAGGACATGCCCAGTGAAAAGCACTGTCCTGGGCTGGAATGTAGGTAAGGGCATAGGCAGCCAGAGGGGAGAAGGAGCTCTCCCTGTAGTTGCCCAGAGGAGAGAGTGTGGAATACTGGAATTGCGTGGTGTTGCCTCTCAAAATCCCCCTAAAAATGAGTATAATTGGGAATCCAGGTCTCTCCTTGCCAAATGTTACATTTTTAACAGACTGGTTATCATTTCCTGACGCTGGATCCGTCATGTGGCTTTACTGTAGGAGGATGGTCCCCTATTTTGTCTTAGTCCAGTTTTCTTCAGCCTAAAATACCAACCCAAATATGTGGCTGGGTTGGATGGAGAACTGGCCATCTTCCTGGGCGTCCGCGTGCATCACTCTGCCTGCCGCATGGCGCGGCTCTCCCACTCCTTCCCAGGCCACAGGGCTCGGGTTTCAGGGTGGGCCCACTGTGTGTTTGAGTGGGAGTAAAGTCAAACCTTGAAGGTGTAGTCTCTTTGTATTAATGTCTGAATGGTGTTCCTCCTTCTCTTTTTTAAAAATTTTTCTTGCCATCTTCAAAATGCTTTTTTCTTTTCCCCAGTATTGCTTCCTGGCTGCCACACTCACCTTCCTCTCAAATCCATACCAACTGCTCCTTTCTAAAACCAAAGGCAAAAGGCTGTTTGCCGCCAGGGGGCGTGGTGGGACGCGTTTCCAGGGGCTGGGATGGTGGAGCGGAAATTTGAATTTGAGAGATTAGCCACCCAGTTTTCTTCCCCAGGTACCCAAGGTGATCTTGTGTGATAAACAGTATCCAGAAAGAAGGGATCCAGCCTGTCCAACAGGCCTGCGGTCACCTCTCCTCAAAGGGTCTGGGTAGCACAGATCACATGCTGCTGTTGGCTCTTGCCAACCCATGATGACTGTGGAACACTCTTTATTTGCTTTAGCCAGGCCAGAGATTCAACAGCCCCCCTTTCACTGTCGCTGTCGGCCAGCCAGGCGCACCACTGTGTTAGCAGAGCAGGGATGAGGTGGGGAAGCCACGGGAAGGGAGTGGTGGTGGCTGGGTGATCAGGATAAGGTAGGAAGTGGGCAGCAAGGGCTCCATCTGTTCTAAAGTTAACCCTTCTACCCTCCGAGCATGAGCTACTCCTTTGAGTGGCATCAGCAACAGTAAGGGGAAGGATACAACATTAAACTGTTTTTAGGGACTATTTTCCAAGATGACACTAGTCTTCAGATCAATGGGCTGTCTTGAAAGAAGGGATGTTACACTAGTCACTACTGATGGGGAGGAGCAGGGTGGGCGAGACAAGAGTGGAGGACCAGGACAGCCAGGACAGGAGGAGAGTTCTGGGTCTCTGGGAATCCAGGGCTGCACACAGGGGCCTCTGGGCTCAGTAGTAGCACTGTGATGTTTACCGTGACACCTTTGAAGGGAGAGCCACCAAAAACAAGGACATTATTCACATTTCGCTTGTGCTTGCAGATGCCCATTTATTAATCATTCAAGCATTCTGCAAATGTTTGAGTGCCAGGCACTGTTCTAGGTGCTGGTGAGCCAGCAATGACAAGCCCAGGTCCTTGACCTCGTGAGCTTAATGGACAGTGAATGTGCTGTTGTTCACAAGGGCCGCTGGTCAGCGTAAGTAGAGCTGTGCACATCTGTTTCTACAACCAGAAAAGCAAGTTTAGCCCTTACTAAACGCAAGTTATGAGATCTTCATAAGAGAACATAATTATCATTATAGCTGTATTCTTAACTTAGGATGTGGCTTCTTTGCAAGTTAGCTAAAGGTATTTAAACTAAGGATAGCAAGAAAGTTGCTGGTGCAAGTGCTTTACAAATTTATTCAAGGTTCAGCCTTGATGTGACTTAGGACTTTAGACGAGAGTGTGGGATGGAACAGGAATTGTGCAGTAAACGTAGAAAGTGTTCTCTAGGAGGTAGATGTCTAAGCACGCAGCTTAGGTTCGCGGGATAGTGTAGCATTTCCACAAATAAGTTGTTTGTCATGTGTGTTCTGAACACTGCTGATGGTGCCATGTGGAGTCTGGTTTCTCCCTACAACCCCGTTCCCTGGCTTCTGTCAAGATGTGACATTGTGTGCAGTAAAACCAGATGAACTGTGTGCCCTAGGGTAGTGGCTCTCAACTTTATCTCATTGTTGGTTAAAAAACTGGAAACATCTAGCCCCCACTGCATCTCCCAGGAGGATTGGCCCCGGCCTGCTGTCTCCGAGGTGACCGGACACCACAGAAGAACTGGGACTGTCTGCTGAGTGCCTCGTGCCTCCTGCAGTTGTCAAATGGAACTCTGAGCAGCCTCCTCCTTCTGCTCCCGTCTCCGTGGGGTCCGCCACAAAATGCCTGTGGGTCTGCCATTTGATTGGTATTTTTAACTTTCACTTGGATGAAACTTGTTCATCATTTTAAATAAAGCAACTTGATTTGGAGTTGGGTTTTTTGCATTGTTTTGTCCTCGTTTCTTTTCACTGTAACTGAGTTTGCCTGCACAATAGGACATCTTAAATCTCTACTTTAAAACGGTGGGGATGGGGCTGCCCTGTGGCCCAGCTGTTGAGTTCGCGTGCTCTGCTTCAGCGGCCCAGGGTTTCGCCGATTCGGATCCTGGGCGTGGACTTGGCACCGCTCATCAAGCCATGCTGAGGCAGTGTGCTATATGCCACAACCAGAAGGACCCACAACTAAAATACACAACTATGTACTGGGGGGCTTTGGGGAGAAAAATAAAATCTTTAAAATAATTAAGGTTGGGTTGAGAGTGGTTGAGAAATAATGTTTTTGGTTACAGCATATTTATCTCAAACATACACTATTCAGCAACTGAGCCCTGAAAGGATCTGGAGAAACAAAAACAGTAGACTTCCCTTCCCTCATCCCACCCTCCCATACATTCCAGAATTATGCAGAGAAGAAAGTCAGGAGGGGAAAGAGTTGACTCAGGGTACCTGGAGCTGAGTTCCAGAAACTGGTCTTCGGCGGGCAGTCTCCTTACCAAGAGGCATGTGTTGAAGGCTGCTGGCTCTCAGCCCAGAGGGGCATTCACTGGCCAGGAACTGGAAACGGCCTCTGCGAGATTGCATGGAGGGGGCCCTGAGGAACAGAAGCAGCCTTTGACATGTCTGTGGAGCAGGTTGCTGTGGGTTTTCATCATCTCACAGCAGCCAGCCACACTTCATGTGAGCCTTCCTGCGTTGACTTGGCCCTCAGCATTCCCAGACTAGCACTTCTGTTTCTGAGATGCTCTAAGATGACCTTCTGTGCAGGGCTAAAATGATGCTGAAAGATCTAAGAGCACCTGAGTAAGGGGTATTTCAAACCGGTTTTCAAAAGGAGCCTACGCCCAAAGCTTCAGGCCTGGCCGGGGCAGGGAAGATTGGCCCTCCTCGGGCCCCAGAGGTCGTGGCTCCTGTCCCCACACGTCTGAGTCACCCGCAGCGGCCAAAGGATGGCGGGGGCGGGGCCGGGGCGTGGCGACGGCGGGGGCTCCGCCCTGGGGCGGGCGCGGGCGGGGCGCGGCGGCCTCCTCGGGGTCCCCGCGGGCTGGCACTCGGGCGGCCGCGGCGCGATGGAGGCGCCGGCCGAGCTGCTGGCCGCGCTGCCCGCGCTGGCCACCGCGCTGGCGCTGCTGCTCGCCTGGCTCCTGGTGCGGCGCGGGGCGGCCGCGAGCCCGGAGCCCACCGGCGCGCCCCCAGAGCCCGCGCCCCCGGAGCCCGCGCCCCCGGAGCCCGCGCCCCCGGCCGAGACCGGCGGGACCCCCGCGCCGCCCGGGCCCTGCGCCCCCGAGCTGGCGGCCGCGCCCGAGCGGCCGGGGGAGCCCAACGGACAGGGGGAGCCCGCGGGGCCGGCGGAGGCGGAGGAGCAGGCGGCGGAGGCGAGGCAGGTACGGACCCGGCCCTCCCGGGCGCCCCTCCCCACCCCGGGCTTGGTTTCATCGCGGCTCCGGCCGCCGCCCTTCCTCCCCGCGCGGGGACGGGAACCGGGTCCCCAGCCTCGGGCAGGGCCGCCCCGAGGGAGGGCAGAGCCCGCGGCCGGCAGAAAAGGAGGCCCCCGCGAGCAAACTCACCATCCTCCCTGGAGAGTGTCGCCGAGAGCGAGCGTGTCCGAGTTGTTTCCTTGTTTTGCTTGCTTTCCGCGTCTCGGCTCCCTCCTCCCCGGCCCAGGGCGACGCCCCGCAGCAGCTTCACCCCCAGGGTGCACACCCACCCCTCACCCCTCCCGCCCACGGGTTCCCAAATCCACGTGCATGTGGCTTATTTCAAGGCCTGCAATGAGAGTTGTCTTGATAGTGAAAAAAAAAATACTTAAAGAAAAAAAAAAAGCTGCCCTTTTCTTTTTAGACCGATTTGAAATCCAGACTTCAGAGTCAGTGATGTCGCGTTGTGTGAAGCCCATAGGGTGGGACTGAAAGAAAAGGCACCGGACATTGCCATCATTTTTATTGTCGTTTTCACACTGCACATGTGCGTTGGCACATCTCCCCTGGGGTTGCAGATAAGCCTGGCCAGCCAGGATGGAGTGAAGATGCAGAATAAAGCCTCCTGCAGGGTGGGGGAGCGCCCCCAAACCAGCTCTCCTTCTTCTGCCCCCAGCCCACTCTGGCCTGCTCCATCAGCTCTGTCCTGACCTCTCTGTCTAGCTTCAGGACACCCAGAGCTGTCTGATAGCTCACGTGTGCTCATCTGATAGCCCCATAGACTTTTTCCCATCATCTCTTTTTAGATTGCAAACCTGCTTGCCAGGCGTGAAAGCCCACGTTCCGCGGATTTCAGCACCCTTGGTGGCTCCAGGCCACCGCTGAGGGTCCCAGTCTGATTGTAATGCCTTGTTCTTATTCCTGAGCTCCTTTTCTTGGAAGGGAGGCTGGCTGGGATGGTAGGAACCATGAGCAAGCTGCTTTGGTGCGTTGTCAGCGTGTCTGCAGTGCCCGCTCTATCTTTTGCTGGACATAGTGGTTTTGCGCTGGAGAGAACCCTTGGGAGCGTGGGGGGCAGCAAGGCTGGGCGGAGGCCTTTCTCTTCGCTCAGTGTGCCAGACCCCCTCTGAGCAGGTGCTTTGCTTGACAAGTGGGTAACTAATTGCCTTATTAGAGTGGATTCCAACCAGCCTGGGAAGGGCTGTCTGTTCGTCCCAGGGAGGACAGGGGCTCTGGTTTAATGGGAACTAGCACTCTCGGCGGGGGAGCGGAGGCCCCGTTGTTCTTGCTAACCTCACCCGCGGCAGTGGCAGGTGGGGCTTGGACGGATGCTGCTGTCTTAGGTTTGCTCCCATATTTGGGATTCCTGCCCGTGCTCATGGCGTCTTGGGAACGGAAGTGTGTGGACTGTTCTCAGGCTGCCACTTGCTCTCAGTCAGCCCTGCTCCTGCAGTTCACACAGCCGCCCCTTTCACCCAGCGGCAGGTTCTAGACTGAAGTTTAAAATGCCCTTTAGTGGCTGTCAATCATATCTTGATCCTCTGGGTTACAGCATTTCTGAAAGAACTTTCTACAAGGCCTTTGGGCTCTCGGCAATATAGTATCTTAACGTAGTGGGTTTCGTGCCGTTGTTTAAATAGCAGCCCTCAAACGGTTTCCTCCATCTGGGAGAATTCACGTCCTGTGGGGGTGAGTGGGTGCTTTGAAGGAAAAGGTACATTACAGGGGTTCACATACCAGCACAGACTCGGAAGCTCCCGCCGCTGGTGCCGCTGCCAGAGAGGATGACTCTGTGAGAGTAGAGGCTTGTGTTGTCCTCCCTCCATGGGACCCTGCCCTGAGGGAATCCACTCAACTGGAGGATTTAAACTCACAGTTAAATCAGTTTCCTCCCTCGGGGGTCTTGCCCTCCCTTCTGGGTTCACTCCCCGGCCCTTGCTGAGCTGGCATGCTCCCCTCGACTTCGACACACAGACGTTAAGTCCTTGCTGTGCATAAGGCCCTGGGGCCAGGGGCCGCGAGGGACACAGACATCTACTGCCCCCTCCGCCCACCCTGACTGCTCCGCCTTGCCCGTGGTGGTACCCTTTGGAAATGGACTTGAGCATTTTCAAGAGCAGGTCCCAGTGCCTTCTTCTGATTGTCATAGTGCCTGAGCCTGGAGAGCAGGCAGGAAGGACCCCCCGGGGAAATAACTCAGGTCCGCATTTGGGGAAGCAGCGGGAGAGGCTCTCAGCCAGCCTCCTTGCCTCTCGCTAAGTGAGCACCAGCAGTGGGGAGGAGGGAGGCCGCCCCGCTGTTGTGAGCGGGAAGTCGCTGCACCCCCCCCAGAGCAGCCAACCACGCTGAACTCGCCTCTCCCCGCCCCCCTCGTTTTCCATTAACCACGTTTCTTCTAATCCAATCGTCTTCCTTCCCTGCGAGGCCTGGGAGGCCCAGGGCAGCTGCTGCCTCCACTCACAAAGCTGATTATTGAGAAGGCTCCGGAGCCCAGGGAAGCCGCCTTCCCCTGCAGCTGTGGGTCACTGGGCAGCGACCCCTCCATGCTGGGGAACAAAGTAGCCAGCAGGCCCCTGATGAACTGACTGACACACTGAGCAGCAACTGAAGAAATGAGGGGGAGACCAGCCAGGCCAGGGCTGAGGGCAGAGTTACATTAGAACCTCTTTCTTTTCTTTCCCGTTAGGGATTAGTGCGGGGCTGGGCAGGGAGGAAGGGGGTAGGTATGCCTCGCCCTCACAAAGAATTATGAGCAAACAATGTCATGGACAAGAGCTGGTCCCTTTTAAGGCCAGGAAACAGTGCTTTTGGGAACTGATGTGTAGGGTGGGATTTAGGATTTGCAGGCCTCTTCCCTGCTGAAGGCGTGGACTCCAGCAAGGCAGCAACGTGGGATTCCCCACCAGTGGTCTTGGGTGAAGGACCCGGGTCTGGGGTCATTGGAATAGTACTAGTTAAATGCCGTGTCTGTGCCAGAAGTCTGACGTCTTGGCACTTGGGTCCTAGCGCCACTCGAAAACTGAGTCGGGACTGTCCTAAAGGGCAGCTGGCCAAAGTCACCCAGCACAACAGTCAGGGAGACTCTTCTAGATGGAAGGAGACTGAAGAGACATGACAGACAAAGGCAGTGCTTGGTGCTTGATTGGATGCCGGCTCAGGGTCGGGGCGGGCAGCTATAAGGAACATTTGGAGATAACTGGGACGATCTTCAAGTGAGTAGTTTATTGGATAAGTTTATTCCATCAGTGCTCAATTTCTTGAGTGTGATGCTGGCCTTGCGGTTATGTAGAAAAATGTCCTTGTTCTTAGGAAGATGTGTGCCGAAACATTTAGGGATGACACGTCATGATTCAAATAGTTACACGCACACACACAAGCGTGGGTGTGGATGTAGAGAGAAAGAATGCAAAGATGGCAAAATGCTAACAATTGGTGAATCTAGGTGAAGGGTATATGAGTGTTCATGGCATTATTCTTCCAACTTTTCTGTAGGCTTGGAATTTTTCAAAAGTGTTGGAAAAAAGAAACCCAGTGGGGCATTCCTCAGGAAGGGCTTGGTTTTTTGGGCACGCTGGTGGTGCTGGTCCTGTGGGGCCGCACAGCGTCCATCTGTCTGTCCTGGACATGCAGCTGGGCCCTGCTTCACCTTTCTGAAGTTATCCTGCTGTTTGGTCCATCTTGTGTCCCCTGCCCTCACCAGCCTTGTCACCACAGGTGTGCCCCCGAGAGGCCAAAGACCTTTCAAAGAGCAGGTGAATCCCCTCCGTCATCATCGGTCCTGGCCTTCATGATGTCAGCGTGGCCCCACTTTCTGTTCTCTTACCAAAAGCAGGGAAGCCAGCTAGTGGAGGGCCAAATCCATATCTGGCAGTCGCTCACATCCCTCGGAATCTTGTCTGAGTCAGCTCGGGCTGCTATAACAAAATACCACAGACTGGGGGACTTACACAGTAGACATTTATTTCTCACAGTTCTGGAAGCTGGCAAGTTCAAGCAGATTCAGCATATGAATTCTGGGGGACATAAACATAACAGGTCTAGGGATTCACTGGGGAAAAACTGGAGATAATCCAAATGTCCATTAATTAGGACATGGGATTAATTAGCAAATTTGGTAGGAAGAAGAAAGGAAAAAAGCAGAACACAAAACAGTAATAGTGTGTTCACACTGTTCACAGTCATTACAGCGATGAGCACCAGCTGAATGGGAGCCTGTGCAGAGGCCTGGAACCGAGTTCGCTGTTCATAGTGGAAGAGGGTATTTTGGTAAAGTCATTTAAGCCCATCATTTAATTTTTTTCATATGAGAAAGAAGTCTAGGAGCTTTCCTAATGGTTAAACCTTGTTCTTTCTTTCAGAGATAGTCTTGTTTGCACACAGAAAATTTAGCTGCCAGAATTTTTAGTGAGAAGTAGTAAATTTTTTTAACGAGCATATCTTTTTTCTTTTTTTTTTTTTGGTTTTAAAGAGCATGTCTTAAGAAAAAAGCTGGCTGGCTTTGGAGAATTAGAAAGCAAACACTGAGCATGTTCACTTTTAGACAGTTTCTTTTTGTAGCCCTGCTCTTTCCCAGACAGTTGGCCCAAACCACGGTGGGGTGGGGGGGAGACCAACTTAGACCATCGCTGGATGTTCTTCCAGAGAAATGCCAAATCCCTGGCAGCCAGGGCATTTCTGGAACAACCTGAATCTGAGCACACTCGGTTTGCCACTGGTAAGGAAAAATGAATGGAACAGGCCTCCTAATGGGGTTCAGACACCTCCTCCTATAAGGGGTGCTGATGCACGGATAGAGCTGGGGGCTGGCATTCCGGGTGCTCGCTGCTTGGTCAGAACTGAAAGGAAGCCTGAGATGCCCAGCAGGCCTGAGATGCCCAGCGGTCATTCCTTCCCTCCTGTAGGGAGGCCGGAGCATCAGTCACTTTCTTCCAGCCAGAGAATAGCAAATGAGATTAAATGGCCCAAAG